TAAGGAAGCCTAGAGAACAAATGGATTTGTCAGTTAAAAATAGGAGAGGAGAGTTATTAAATGGAGAGTTAGAGGGAATATTTTGAGAAATTGTTAAATGTTGATGAAGATAGGGAAGCTGTGATTTTGTGTATAGGGCAAGGAGGAATAACATCTTGTAGGAGTGAGGAAGAGCCAGTTGTGAGTGTGGGGGAAGTTTGTGAGGCAGTAGGTAAAATGAAAGGGGATAAGGCAGCCGGGATTGATGGGATAAAGATAGAAATGTTAAAAGCAGGTGGGGATACAGTTTTGGAGTGGTTGGTGCAATTATTTAATAAATGCATGGAAGAGGGTAAGGTACCTAGGGATTGGCAGAGAGCATGCATAGTTCCTTTGTATAAAGGCAAAGGGGACAAAAGAGAGTGCAAAAATTATAGGGGGATAAGTCTATTGAGTATACCTGGTAAAGTGTATGGTAGAGTTATTATTGAAAGAATTAAGAGTAAGACAGAGAATAGGATAGCAGATGAACAAGGAGGCTTTAGGAAAGGTAGGGGGTGTGTGGACCAGGTGTTTACAGTGAAATATATAAGTGAACAGTATCTAGATAAGGCTAAAGAGGTCTTTGTGGCATTTATGGATTTGGAAAAGGCGTATGACAGGGTGGATAGGGGGGCAATGTGGCAGATGTATGGTGTAGGAGGTAGGTTACTGAAAGCAGTGAAGAGTTTTTACGAGGATAGTGAGGCTCAAGTTAGAGTATGTAGGAAAGAGGGAAATTATTTCCCAGTAAAAGTAGGCCTTAGACAAGGGTGTGTGATGTCACCATGGTTGTTTAATATATTTATAGATGGGGTTGTAAGAGAAGTAAATGCGAGGGTCTTGGCAAGAGGCGTGGAGTTAAGATAAAGAATCAAACATAAAGTGGGAGTTGCCACAGTTGCTCTTTGCTGATGACACTGTGCTCTTGGGAGATTCTGAAGAGAAGTTGCAGAGATTGGTGGATGAATTTGGTAGGGTGTGCAAAAGAAGAAAATTAAAAGTGAATACAGGAAAGAGTAAGGTTATGAGGATAACAAAAAGATTAGGTGATGAAAGATTGGATATCAGATTGGAGAGAGAGAGTTTGGAGGAGGTGAATGTATTCAGATATTTGGGAGTTGACGTGTCAGTGGATGTGTCTATGAAAGATGAGGTGAATCATAGAATTGATGAGGGTAAAAGGGTGAGTGGTGCACTTAGGAGTCTGTGGAGACAAAGAACTTTGTCCTTGGAGGCAAAGAGGGGAATGTATGAGAGTATAGTTTTACCAACGCTCTTATATGGGTGTGAAGCATGGGTGATGAATGTTGCAGCGAGGAGAAGGCTGGAGGCAGTGGAGATGTCATGTCTGAGGGCAATGTGTGGTGTGAATATAATGCAGAGAACTCGTAGTTTGGGAGTTAGGAGGAGGTGCGGGATTACCAAAACTGTTGTCCAGAGGGCTGAGGAAGGGTTGTTGAGGTGGTTCGGACATGTAGAGAGAATGGAGCGAAACAGAGTGACTTCAAGAGTGTATCAGTCTGTAGTGGAAGGATGGCGGGGTAGGGGTCGGCCTAGGAAAGGTTGGAGGGAGGGGGTAAAGGAGGTTTTGTGTGTGAGGGGCTTGGACTTCCAGCAGGCATGCGTGAGCGTGTTTGATAGGAGTGAATGGAGACAAATGGTTTTTAATACTTGACGTGCTGTTGGAGTGTGAGCAAAGTAACATTTATGAAGGGGTTCAGGGAAACCGGCAGGCCGGACTTGAGTCCTGGAGATGGGAAGTACAGTGCCTGCACTCTGAAGGAGGGGTGTTAATGTTGCAGTTTAAAAACTGTAGTGTAAAGCACCCTTCTGGCAAGACAGTGATGGAGTGAATGATGGTGAAAGTTTTTCTTTTTCGGGCCACCCTGCCTTGGTGGGAATCGGCCAGTGTGATAATAATAATAATAAATCATTGAAATCTATACTAGCATACCATGAACCATCATTATATTTGTCAGGACAGCCACATGCAGGATTCTCGTAGCAGCCATTATTAACTAAAACAAAAGGGTATGTACACATTGGTAGATCCCATCACTTGTATTATACACACATTTATATGTTAAAAGTGTTTTCTATGGACCTTACTGCATGCTTCCCCTGCTCATCAGATTATGATTATCCTGTTTCTCTCCAAGACCTCACTTTTGACCTCTCCTGAACCTGACCTCAGGGTGCTCATTTTTCTTATAAGGTTGTATATCTGTGTTTTTGTATACTTGGTTAAGTCAAGTCCTGTACGAAATATAAAGGTTTCCCCTGCACATTTTGTTTCTCACTATCTGTCAGCTTATAGCACCTTAGAAACTACCCATGATTAGTCCTGGTGAACTGTGGAATGTCTAGCATATGGGACAGCAACATATATATTATCTTCCTGTGGGTAAAATACATAATCTCTCTAAATTTTCTCAGTACATGTTAGGCTCTGCATGTGCTATCATTAGTGAAGTCTGCAGAGAATATTGGTGAAGAAAAACTGATAGTAAAGCATTTTTTCTAATAATTTCTCAGCAGCATTTCATACCTGCTCAAAGTAAGAATACAACTGGTACTCTACATTTGGTTTTGCAGTGATGTAAGAAGTGTATTAGCAATCTTTGTGGCATACTTTGAATTTAACAAGTTACTGTTCGTCCAAGAAATGGAAAGTATTAAGCTCTTTCCTTCTTGAGAGTGAACAGTGTAGCTGGCTCTTCCCTGTGTTTCATATGGAAACATTTGGATGTAATCACAAATATGTAGCCCAATAAATGTAAGCAACTAATGGTAAAGGGGAAGATAGGAGAAGTGCTCAACATTCAGAGACTCCATTTACAAGTTAACTGGGATAGCTAAACACTAGCTGTCCTAGTTAACTGGTACAGAGAATCTCCAAGCTGAGCATGTCTCTGATATTGTACCCTCTGTCATCACTTGGCTATGTTTTTCGGGCCACATCACAATAATACCCAGATGCTTCAATCTGAAAAACTTCCAGGCTACTTTAGATTGGGGAAAGCCATCTATACAAATCACTGTTAAGGAAGGGAGAGATGAATACCTCTCATTTCTGGATGCCCAAATAATCATCCAGCTTTTACTAAAATTCAAGATATACTATAAACCTATTAACAAAAATGACCCGATACATTTCTGACACCACAATAAGTTAAATGCAGTGCTGATAAGATTTTTCATTACTGTATACAGGAAATGAAGCCATAAATTCCTTGAAGAATGACACACTAACAGTTTTCTCCTGCGCTAAAATTCCACACATACTTCATTAAAGATTACAGCTGCAGAGCCCAACATATACTAAAAACTCGAGAGAAATATAAAAAGATGTATTTTTTACTACAGGAAGATCAGCTATGATTTATCACAGAAGGACTTGGTAGAGTTGATAAAAACTTCACTGTCCTAAGTACGTGTTGACTTCAGATACCTTATACTATCACAAATTTTACCCCGACCAAGTCCATAGTGTCACTTACATTTAGGAAAACTATTATTAGAATCCTTAAGGGTATATTTTAAGAGCTGTTTGTTACCTCATTACATAAATCAGAGGATAAACCACGACCATATTTATTTTGCTTTGATTCTAGATAGCAGAACAAAATTTACTTATGTATTTCGAAAACTTGCTAGTACAGGGAGAATCCAGTGTTCAGACTTTAGATTATTCATATTCTATCAGTCATTTGTAATGATACTTCACTAATATAAGTTATTGAATTTCATGCATTAATTAATCAGATATTAAATGTAGATTATGTACAATATATAAAATGTTATAACACAAAGTCTTTGAATGCATTAAGACATAGTTCTGTATAAGCCTAGTCAAATATCAACACTCTGAGTTAACCGTTTTACCTTAAAACTGACTTCTTCAATATTGATGATCTGAGGCAGCCACCTGGTGTTGTAGGTCGGCAGAGAGATGACGATGTAAAGCCTCGGACGAGCATCAAGCTTGTGTCTCCACAAAGTGGTACAGCTCTTCGGGGTATCTTCTGGTGACTCGGCTGCTTATCTAAATTTTAGAAGCAAAGCACAGAAATGCAAAAAAATGGCTGTCTCACCAGAATGTAGTAGGAGGTGGCACTTGTGACTTAATAAACTACTGTAGATATTTTATAAACAGTAGTAAAATCAATGCTTTGGGAGCACTTTGGTGACAATAAAAGGACAGTTGCCAAATTAGTGCCATAAATAATGACTTAAAATTCACACTGAGCTAGTGAATAATGGCTACAAGCATAAAATAGTTAACCTTACACCTAATTTTAAACTAACCTTGCTACTAATTAATTTCTTAAACATCTCTTCAATATAGAAAAAAAACAATCTAGGGGATAAATTATGAGTCATGCACACCAAGTTAACTGCAACTTTGGGGTTCCCTTGCATCACGCTTTAACCTTTGGGTCAATTTAACTTTATGGAATGCATGTTAAATTAAGGATAGTTACTTTTTTCCTGAACGGTGTATTGAATGGGGATAATTCTGGCTGTACCTTGCTTGATAATGCTTGACCTCTGCTCGTTTCACCTCACTGCTGTAATTACACCGAGTAGCTGTAGACTACCTTAATGTTAAATTTATACTAATTAATCTGTTCATATCTTTAGATTAACAATAAATTAATTGTTTACTAATTAATCTGTTCAGGTCTTTCGAATATTAACAGCAATGTTTTTTTTTTATTAAATTTACATATTTTTACTAATAAAGAGACTATACAGGTCTGTTAAGACTAATGATAATTGCACTAGTAAATAACTTAAGCATATAACATAAAAATGAATACGATCAGTGACTTTAGTACTGTATCGAGATGCACAAATGTTTTCTCACAGATCCAAAATACATTTCACTAAAAGGAGATAATATACTGTAATCAAATTCAGTCTTAAACCCTGAAGGAAGATATGATTTCAGTAGTACTAACTGTTTACTTTCACAGGTGCACAAGTTAACGATAAGTCTCCTAAACGACCATCAGTGAAAGTAAACAACCCACCTGGAGGGAAGACGTCAGGCAGCTTCTGGTAGACCAGCCACAGTGATGGTGGAGCCTTGCATCGTTTGTGTTCAAGAATGGCAAATTCCTTTTTTTTTTTTTAAATCCATATCTATACAATGTATGAAAGAGGATCAAAGATTATCCATCATTATGATATTTATTTTTTATATAATGTTCAGTATTAAAGCTTGACCTGTAGAAAGTGAAATAAGCTAAATTTTGTTCAGAAAAATGCATACATTACGAAATAAAAGGATTTTAATGTGCAGTTTAGATCAAATATTTTGTCATGCAGTGCCTATGTACTTTTTTTTTACTTAAAATTTCAAAGATTGTGAAACACATACTTGGGGCCTCAATGAAATGTTTAATTTCATAAGATATACAGTCTGAGATGAAATAATTAAAGGGAAGTAGATGATACAGAATGTTGCTTGTACAGTACTAGCATGCAGGCTGCCTCTATGAATTAACACTACTGTCAGCCCTTCTTAGATGGTTCATCTTGTTATTTATGGGCTCTTTTAAAGCATTTGCTTGATGCTGGTGTAGGGCTCTTGATCCAAAGAACTGGAGCTATCCTCTCAAATTCAGCCGGATTATGATTCATTTCCCCAGGTATTATATGACCCCTACCCCATGAATTTATAATTACTGGGAAAACCTGGGTGATACATTTCCTGGAAAATGAGAGATTATGAAGCTTGATGCAGGGAAGGGGAATGCAACTCATTCCATGGATCAAGAGCCTTCCACCAGCATCAAGACATTCCTCTCGTCATCCTTGAGGGGTTATCACGTAAAGGAAAAGATAAAAGAGCCGTTGACATTTGTTGCCTTATTAGAAGAAACTGATGTGAAGTTTTATAAGATATGCATATCTTACTAAAAAGATTTTTCAACCATCTTCATTTGTAGTTTTCATATGACTAAAAAAACATCAGAGTATTAAATATTTTAGAATTATAGATACATATTTATATTATAATTAAATTTGAAGTCCCTCATTACTTTCAATATTTAGTAACTAGTATTTTTTCAATACTTTTTTATGGACAAATTATTTATACCCAAGTCTAACATTGGACTCAGTATTAGCGCACTGTATTTCATCAGCTGTTTAGTAGTCTTGCACAAACTCTTGATTTATCATTGCAACTTATTCAAATTTGCAGAATTTATTCTTAAGTATTTATACTATTTTGTCTGTGTAGCCATGCTGTGGTATTTATGGCAATGGACAATAAAAGTCATGAACTTGGATATGTTTTTAACCTATAAAAATTGTGTAGTATATGTGGGAAATTTATACGAAGCCTGGCTGAATGAGTTTCGTCTATTGGGGAGGCTAAATCCTCAGTCTGCCAACTGAGAGACTATGTATGCTAGAAATTTATAACTGGGGGTGCTTAACCTGTAGAAGTCTTACAGTACCTGGGGAATGAAATGCTGTATAGTCCTTGTGGCTTAGCGCTTCTTTTTGATTATAATAATAATGGGGAATGAAAGGTACTCAGGTTTCATCCAAGGATGGGGGGACAGCTCCAAATTCTTGAATTGTCCTTAAACAGCATCAAGGAGCTTTTTCCCAAAGGCATCCAGTAAAGATGACATTATTAGTCATCCTTGTTTTACCAGCCTGGACTGTGAATTTTCAAAAATTATTTCTCAGCACTGTGACTCAAGATCTTAGTACTTTCTGTGAAAGAAATAAATTATTAGAAAAGAAAAAGATCTGTCCTCTTTATTTTACTATTATGGGTTGTCCCCCTCTTGCCTTATTTCTATGGGCTTCCTAAAACTCAAACATGATATCTCTCTACATCCTAAATTATTATTTCTATGATTTTAACCAAGCACTTCATGAACTCTTTGGATTTACTGAAAAATGATCCCTCAAGTGATGATCTCTTGAATCTGTAATCCAGTTCCCCAAATACCTTGTCCCCCCTACATGTGCTGTATAATCCTATGAGTTTAGTGCTCTCCAATAATTATAACTGAAAATGTCACTCCACGTTTTAACAATAGCAAACATCCACTCTCAAAATGCTTCTTTGTCCTTAAAGTAATTACTGAGGGAAGTGGAATTAACTTTGATCTGATGAGGTCAGGAATTTTGTTTTCACCACCTGATAACGATATTCCAAGTCCGAGATGGTTTGGTCTAGATCAAGTGTGTTGTAGTGGCAGGAGTAGATGTATGATTTTCATCCCCATGACAATAACTTTATGCATTAGATTGTCTTTGGTCATGACCTTTTATATTATTTAAAAAGGAGAGAAAGATTTTATATTTGATCAACATTTATTTCCCTCTGAAATCATATATAAAAAAATGCATGATTTGTGTATTATATGAAAATAGTTTGATCTAGGCATGCCCAACGAGCACAAAAGTTCCCTGAACTTAATTCTTTCATTACAACAATAACAAATATCCTTTTTCTTAATTTTTTCTCTTTCTCTATTTATTATTACATTAATAATGGCAATGATTGACTTTACTATCAGGCTATCAACACTAAATACTTCATAATCTTTACTTCTTTAATATGTTTTGTGAACCACACCAATTGTATATGGCAAATGTTTATCACACTAAGAATCATTCATAGAAATGGAGCATTGTGAGCTTGCATAGTGACAAAAATTGTATAAAAGAAGTCCACAACTTAGCTCAAAATTTGATTTAATCTTGCAAATATATTCATTTTTAATAAAAAAAAAATTAACGAATTAAGCTCACATTTGTCTGCAAGGCTGAAATTGTACACACAATGGTTATTATTCTTTATTTTTATATATTTTACATGCAACAGATATTAAATCTGGGGTAAGAGCCGGTACAAAATGCCGACACGTGAAGTGTTACCATATTTTATAGAAGAAATTTTTTGCCATGAAACACTACAGTCTGAAGGAACCATTCATGGTAGTAAAACACATCCTTACACTGCACGTGTCTTGTTTCACAGATATTGCATGTTACCCACACATTACGTATTTATTCAAGATGCAACTTGCAAAAATTAAATAAAAATGCAGAGATCCAGTTATAGGTGGACTCTGAGACAAGTGAACTGCAAACTGATGAAAGCGACCAAGTTGGAACACAAGGAGAGAATTTACCTTTTGCTTTCAATTTTTAACTACAACAGTTCTCCTGTATCCCCAGTGGGACATACTCCAAGACCTACCATGGATAGTAGTGACCCCTATACATAATACATAAAAGAAAAGTAATTTTTTTTTTTTAACACATCAGTCATTTCTCACTAAGACCCAAAAAAGAAAAAAAAAAACTTTCATCATTTAACATTTTCACCATTACTGTATAGTCCCCATTTTTTATAGTCACACTATCAACTAAATATAATATTTTTTTTTATAATATATATCACTGAAAACAATATTATGGTCGCTGTATACCTTTTTTTTTACACACTAGGCATCTTCCACTGAAGTAGTGTGACACCATCGTTCACTATCACTGTCTTGCCAGACACACACATACATGGAACGAAATGTGTGTCCGAGTACCCAGCTGATAAACAACCATCCAGAACTTTATCTTTGGAAGTAGATGGCAGCACCTACCAGATAAACATCTGGTTCAGGAGACATCAAAGTATATTCACAGGATGCTCAAAAAGTATTTAGGCTGCCAGAGTGAAGTCACAACTTGCACAGTCAGTTCATAATTACAATCTATGAGGTGAAAAGAATAACTTAAAATAAAAATATAAAAGCAAAGTATTTGGTGAATATATGCCCAAAAGAAGTTAAGGTACTAAAGAAATGGAAGTGAATGTGGATAGTCCTGGTGTACAAGGGAAAGACAACAAGAGTGAAAGTATAAATTATGGGAGGGATAAGTCTGTTGACTAAGTAAAAGCAGGCATGCGTGAGCGTGTTTGATAGGAGTGAATGGAGACAAATGGTTTTTAATACTTGACGTGCTGTTGGAGTGTGAGCAAAGTAACATTTATGAAGGGATTCAGGGAAACCGGCAGGCCGGACTTGAGTCCTGGAGATGGGAAGTACAGTGCCTGCACTCTGAAGGAGGGGTGTTAATGTTGCAGTTTAAATACTGTAGTGTAAAGCACCCTTCTGGCAAGACAGTGATGGAGTGAATGATGGTGAAAGTTTTTCTTTTTCGGGCCACCCTGCCTTGGTGGGAATCAGCCAGTGTGATAATAAAAAAATAAATAAAATAAGTCTGTTGACTAAGTAAAAGCAATTAGTTTTTATGGCTTGACATACTGTTAGAGTGTGAGCAAGGTGACATTTACAAAGGGATTCAGGGAAACCGGTTGGCCTAACTTGAGTCCTGGAGGTGAGAAGTGCAGTGCTGCACTCTGAAGGAGGCATGTGACATCAGCATGCTTCTGGCAAAACAACAATTGAGTGAATAATGGTGAATGTGTTTTCTTTTTTTTTTTGGGGGGGGGGACACCCTACCTTGGTAGGAAACAACCACTGAGGTAAAAAAAAAATCTAAGAATGGTACTCTGAAGCTGCAAGGTCACCCTGAAGCTGCAAGGTCACCCTGAAGGAAGGTGTGACACGTCTTGATGCTGACAAAGGACTATGATCCAAGGAACTGAAGCTACCTTTCCCTTCTACAGATCAAGCTTCATTACCTCCTATTCCCAAGGTGATGTATAACAAACACTTAGCGCTTCTCTGTGAATACATAACAGAGATACAAGGTTGGCTCTACACTCTTAAAATACACCTGAAAAAAATATGAAATAAAATAGAAGTTGAAGATAAATGGTTCAGAGAATAAATGCTAATCTTCAAAAGTTACAAGATTCACATCCCCAACTAAACCACTAGAGATGGTGACCAAGGGGTAAATATAAGCCAAAATGTTTATACATCCTGTATACATAATATATACACTTTTATTGAATAGCATTTACATGTAACGTATCTAAATTAACAAGAAAAGTCTTCCTAATTTGCATAAAATAAATTTTCATAACACATATATAAATACTTTCGTAATTTTGAATTATAGTTGACCTCTTAAATTAGCAAGGATCCTAATTTGTGGAAATTGATTATCCAATGTTGTTAGTGATGGGCAATACATAGATCAATCTCATTATTTGTAGTATTCATTTATAAAGGGTTGAAAATTCTGTGCTAGATTTTTCACAGTTAGTCAGGTCAGAAGGATCGTAAGTTTATAATGTCTCTGACACCGACTGAGCCGAGTTCAGCTGTACATGCTATTGTATTTGATGAAAAATGAATAAAGGATAAAGGCAACAACCTCAGCCTGGGTCCCCATCACATACAGGTCAGGTGGACCTCGACTTAGAGTGGGGTTACGTTGCGACAAATCCATCATAAGTCAAAAATATTGTGTCGAATATATGCTAAACAAGTAAATAAATAACTACTGTTGCTGAATAAGTAAATAAACAACTACAGTAACTAACTAAATACCAGTTTCGAAAAGTAAAAAAATGTCTACAAGTTATGGACTTGCCACCTTCATGTTGGGTGATCATCTCAAGTTTAGTCTCCAAAGTAATTGCTGTTGCACCATCATAAAGTCGAAATATCACAAGTTGTATCATCATAAGTCGAGGAGTAACTATATATTGCCAGCATAAGTTTTTTTCTTTTCCAGTTCATCAAATACCTATAAGCACAACATGCGAGTAATATTAATATGCATAATACATCTACATTATAAAAATATACCTATACATAAAATATTTTATCTGGTAAAAGTGTAATGGTATATAAGCAACATTAATAAAATTTAACACCTCTATAAAAAAACTCATCAAAAATAAAAATATTCTCCTGACAAAAAATTAAAAAACAGGTTGAAGGTTATGAAATAATGATAAAGAACATTAAATACTTGATACATATTCTTAAATATTTGTATCTTTACAGTATTTCAACTCAGTATATGTACTAGTTAATAAAATAAATTTTTAACAGTTGAAAAACAACTGCCGACGGAAATGTGGACGGATTGGTTATTACAAGAATAATACATTAAGCTCCTTTATAAAGCTATTCTAGATAGTGTGACTTTTTTTGCAAATGCAACTGAAAAAGAGCATCCAAAATTGATCATCATATGCTATTCAATTTTGGATAGGCTTTTTTTAACTGCATTTGCAAAAAAAACTGCACTATATAGAGGAGTTGAATATATACAGGTGCTCCCTCACTACATCCAATAGATTCATTCCTGCCCCATACTGCATTAACTACATTACATCACATAAGTGAATCTAATATAACATGTAAACTCACGAATTCATAGCATGATTGCAAACTGTTACGCGCCCCTACTTCACTCCATTATATACAAAAATAAAAGGCCTGGTTAAAATAAGTTCTGTAATAATATATCGAGAACCACTTTATTACTAGCTAGATAAAGCAGGTTCGACTATATATTATTATCGGGTACAGTATGAATCATCAACAGTACTCTCATTGTATTATACTGTATTATATTATATTATTATAGTCAGCTCCTAGCTCTGACTCTGTACGGGTCTTAAGCTCATAGCTTAAACTAAAACTTTAAACCAAGTCTATTGTCTTGCCTTTGCCATTAGTTTCCTGAAGTCTGGTAATTCATGTCACTTATGAAAGATAACTATTTCATTACCCTAGACCTTTCTAAAAGAGTTAAATGGTGAGATTACTAGATTATTAATTGAAATTATTATACCATACTCTGTTAATGAGAATTTGAACGTAAGATTGGGTTCCTTGCTGTATAGTATTTCATTTATAATTGCTTGTGGTTATTTTAATTCACTAACCAAATACCAATGAAGCTAAATGATTGGTAATAAAATAAAACTAACAAAAAAAATGGAGTTATTTGTGCCCCTATTGTTACGGTGAAGATTAAGTCGTAACAAATGGGTTGTCTGTCCGGGAGCTACTTACCCTGAAGTACATATTTGTTTTGCATTAAAATTAAGCTCCCTTGCGAGAATTAAGAAAATGGATCCAGAAATTAAGTCATTATTAGATAAATTAACAGAGGCTACTCTTGCCCACTTTAAAATTACAGATGTGTTGGCAAATAGCTAGACAGTTAGATATACCTTATAATAGATACCATAGCGCAGAGACTCTTAGGTCCCTAATTAAGGATAGATTATTTCCGAAATCCCAAGCAATGCCAGAATTAAAATTCGGAAGATAGTTTTATTTCTCAGTTCGAGGAAGAGAATCCCACGGACGGGAACTGGCCTTAAATAATGAAGTTGAACCAGGGTTTACCAGGCCTTACTACTCAGTCCAGTCTCAAAGCTCTCCCCCGTTCTTTTCCCCCGGATTATGTATCGGTGGTTGGAACAAAACCCTCAGTCAAATGACGGGGATAATTTTAGGACTGGTGCTCATCCCAAAATATTTCCGGAGAAGATGCCCGAATTCCCCCTCGGTGTCATTCCCTTTTTGGGAATTTTCAACGTCCCCGAACAACTAGAGAATAGAACGCATATTACTATTACAAAACTCTCAAATCGAAGCTAGAAGACGTCTAAACGGGGAAAGAATTTAGGCGTGAAAGTTTCGTTTTGAAAACAAAGCAGAAGGGTTCCGGAAGAAAGAGACGTAAAGAGCACTGTAACCGGGTTTGACTTACTTTAAAGCAGCTCTGATGGTACCTAATTTTAACGAAACAGACTTAGATGAATTCTTTGAAATTTTTGAGAATCAGGCAGTTCAATGGGCTGGCCCAAAGACAAAGGGGCCACATTGCTGCCACGTCTCTATATGGAAGGCCAGTCTTGTGTCACCTCCTTACCATATGAGTTTTATGTCCAGTACGACGTAGTAAAGAAACTATTTTAGAAGCATATGACATGCTCCCATTAGTTACCAATAGCTTTTCGTTCCACGAAAACGGCAAACAGGACAAACTTATTTAGATTTTGCCCCAGGGAAAGCAGTGGCGTTTGAACGTTGGTGCGAGCTTCTCGGGTCACGACTTTAAAAGATCTTTCACAATTAATGTTACTAGAAGATTTGTATGCAAATTTTCCAGAGGGAGTTCACCAGTATCTTGTTGGCCATCCGCAAACGACGTTGTTAGAGACTGCCGCGCTGGCAGACAACTTAAAAATTTCCCAGAGGTTGGTACAATCTGAAAGCAGCCAGGTTATCAAACCAGCAACGAGACCCGAACCTGCGAAGCCTTTCAGTAAGCGACCTACCCAACCTGTTCACTCCCGTGCAACAAGTAAACCCGATGTAGAACACCAAATACAATCGAGCCCATCCTATAGACCAGATAGGTCATGGGAAAAAATTAAGTGTTCGTACTGTTCGAAGCTGGGACATGTCAAATCACAATGCTTTAAGCGTGATAGGGACCAGGGAAGGAGTCCATCCTACAGATTGCCCACACAAATCATATCCGAGCCAAGAGTAGACGCTCTGTCCCAAGAAAAAGGAACAGATCCTCCTAGTTGACTAAGCAGAATATGGGTATCATTGTCAAACTTGTCAAGAGCTATGAGTCCTTACTTTTCCAAAAGCAAAGTAGGAATTACCGATAGCCAGTTGTTGCAAGTAAATTCCTTTAGGGATACGGGGTCCTACTTAACATTGTTAAGAGAAGGACTGCTATCATTCCCTGCCGGATCATATACGGGTTTCGACGCTCTGTTGGAAGCTTATGGTGGCTCCACTACGCGAGTACCCCTGTGCAAGTTATATGTCGAAACTCCTATTTTTACAGGCTGGACGTCAATCGGAGTGTCTCCAACTAACTTCCCCATAAAAGACGTAGACCTATTGATTGGGAACGACTTAGCGGAAGAAGGAATATGGAAAGAGCCCACAGTTATGGAAAATCCAACCGAGGAAAATTACGTCATCGAAGCCCGACGAACGGAACCTACCCTCTTTCCTCTGAGCGTAGTAACCCGGGCAATGACCAAACAGTCGCGTTCTCCGTTGGTATCGGAGGAAGTCATGGATGACGTCGACGTAGGAGTAGGAGACATATTCAACGAAAGCTTGAGTTTCGAGCCAATAGTCCACCCGGAACCGATACCAGTTCCTAAGTCGGTGGTTTCCGAAATAGATTTATTCTCGAAGGAGGATCTAGTAAGAGAACTCCAATTTGACCCCTCCTTAAGTGACATCAGGAAGCTTGCTGTGCGGGAGAAGAAGCCCTTTAAAAGTGACAGCTCTTACTATTGGGAGAAGGACTTACTGAAAAAGAAACTAGGATCTCTTAAAAGTGATCATCTAGTGGTCTTGCCTACCCTGTTTAGAAATTTAGCATGTAAGTTTGCTCATGAGTCCTCAAGGTGGACATCTGGGACAAAAGAAGACTTTTAGAAAAATTGCCCAAGCACTTCACATGGCCAAAAATGAAGAAGAAGTGGAACGGTATGTAAGAAGCTTTTTCCATGTTTTCAAAATAGTAGGCAAAACCTGCACATAATCCACACCTGCGCCATTGGAACCCTATACAAGTAAGAGGCGAACCCTTTTTACGTTGGTGATCGACTGTGTCGGCCCGCTACCCAAGACTCAGCAGGGCAACCAGTTCCTGTTCACTATCATGGACACCGTCACCAGGTACCCGGAAGCAGTTCCTCTCAGGAGGATTAATGTTCCCCTAATAGTGAGAGCATTGATTTTAAATTCTTCTCTCACTTCGATTTCCAAGAGAAGTTCAAACGGATCAAGGTCGAATTTACCCTTTAAAATTTTTCCGGAAGCCTTGGCTCAGTTAGGGGTCAAGACGGTTTAAAGCGACGGCCTATCGACCCCAATCACAAGGCGTGGTGGAAAGGTTCCATCAAACTTTGAAGATTATGATGAGGTCCTATTGTTTGCAGTATTCCAAAGATTGGGATGAAGGTATTCCACTACTCTTGTTTGTCCTAAGAGAAAGCGAACAAGACAACTTGAAGTTTTCGCCATTTGAGTTAATATTTTTTTTTTTTATTATCACACCGGCCGATTCCCACCAAGGCAGGGTGGCCCGAAAAAGAAAAACTTTCACCCATCATTCACTCCATCACGTCTTGCCAGAAGGGTGCTTACACTACATTTTTAAACTGCAACATTAACCCCCCTCCTTCAGAGTGCGGGCACGTACTTCCCACTCCGGGGACTCAATCCGGCTCCGGTTTTCCCGAATCCCTTCATAAATTTTACTTTGCTCACACTCCAACAGCACTCAAATTTAAAAAACCATTTGTCTCCATTCACCCTATCAAACACGCCACGCATGCCTGCTGGAAGTCCAGCCCCCGCAACAAAACCTCCTTTACCCCCTCCCCCCAACCCTTCCTAGGGGCCCACCCCTACCCCCCCTTCCTTCCCCTAAGCTGATACCTCTTAAATCATTCTGTTTCGCTCCATTTTCTCTACATGTCCGAACCACCCCCAAAAACCCTTCCCAGCCCCCCTGGACAACAGTTTTTTGGTTTAAACCCCACCTCCTCCTAACTTCCAAACTAAATTCTCTGCATTAATATTCACCCACACAAGCCCTCAGACATACATCTCCACTGCCTCCAGCCTTCTCCTCGCTGCAAACATTCATCACCCCCGTTTACACCCATAAAGAGCGTTTGGGAAAACTATACTCTCATACATTCCCCCCTTTGCCTCCAAGGACAAAGTTCTTTGTCTCCACAGACTCCTAAGTGCACCACTCACTCTTTTTCCCTCATCAATTCTATGATTCACCTCATCTTTCATAGACCCATCCGCTGACACGTCCACTCCCAAATATCTGAATACGTTCACCTCCTCCATACTCTCTCCTCCAATCTGATATTCAATCTTTCATCACCTAATCTTTTTGTTATCCTCATAACCTTACTCTTTCTGTAATCACCTTTAATTTTCTTCTTTTGCACACCCTACCAAATTCATCCACCAATCTCTGCAACTTCTCTTCAGAATCTCCCAAGAGCACAGTGTCATCAGCAAAGAGCAGCTGTGACAACTCCCACTTTGTGTGTGATTCTTTATCTTTTAACTCCACGCCTCTTGCCAAGACCCTCGCATTTACTTCTCTTACAACCCCATCTATAAATATATTAAACAACCACGGTGACATCACACATCCTTGTCTAAGGCCTACTTTTACTGGGAAAAAATTTCCCTCTTTCCTACATACTCTAACTTGAGCCTCACTATCCTCGTAAAAACTCTTCACTGCTTTCAGTAACCTACCTCCTACACCATACACTTGCAACATCTGCCACATTGCCCCCCTATCCACCCTGTCATACGCCTTTTCCAAATCCATAAATGCCACAAAGACCTCTTTAGCCTTATCTAAATACTGTTCACTTATATGTTTCACTGTAAACACCTGGTCCACACACCCCCTACCTTTCCTAAAGCCTCCTTGTTCATCTGCTATCCTATGGGCATCAAATTAGAGGACCAGTACAGGTTCTCAAAGAAGCTTGGACCGGGGAAGAAACACCAACTTTTAGGAGCTCTCCTACCTTAATGAAAGAACGCCTGAGCCTAGCTAGAGAATTGGCCGCCGAAAACTTACGACAAGCACAGAGTAAGATGAAGGAGGAATACGATCGTCGAACTAAACTTCGTTCATTTGAACCAAAAGATCAAGTTCTGGTTCAACGATTTCATCAGGGATATGCTCTACAGCCCAAATTTGAAGGTCCTTTAGAAATCGTGAAGCGCCTAAGTGACGTGAACTACTTGGCAAGGACGCCGAAGAGGAGGAACTCACAACGGACGTATCACGTTAACCAACTTAAACCCTATTCAGGAATCGTTTCTCCAATTTCTACTATAACACCTCTAAACCAAGAACGGGTTCCAGCAAGTTCGGATGAAATGATAGGAGTACCGGTTCTTCTGAACAATTCGACAGCCTTAAAGAATTTAAATTCTCTACTGATAAATCTGGAAGTGGACAAAGGACACGAAATAAAATCCCTGATTAAGGCAAATCTCCACCAATTCAATGGCGTCCCAAAACCGTGTACGTTGGGTGTGCACGATGTTACTCTCAGAGAACCTACTCCAATCAAGCAATCTCCTTACAGAGTGAGTCCCAAGAAACAAGGTGAGCTAGAGGCAGAGGTGAACTTCTTACTCTCACACGGGTTGATAAAACCAAGTAAGTCCTTGGGCATCCCCGTGCATTCTAGTCCCCAAACCAGACGGGACCTCCCGTATGTGCACGGATTTTAGAAAAGTCAATGCTGTAACAGTACCTGATGGGTTTCCAATACCCAGAATTGATGACTTAATAGACAAGGTCTCCAGAGCTAAGTATATCAGTAAATTGGACTTGTTAAGAGGGTATTACCAAGTCCCGTTGTCACCAAGAGCTCAAGAGATATCGGCTTTTACGATACCTGGTGGCCTATACAAGTATTGCGTTATGCTCTTCGGCTTCTGTAATGCGGCCTCTACGTTCCAGCGTATTATGAACATACTTACGGGCGGATTGGACGGAGTAGAAGCTTACTTAGACGACTTAGTCGTATACAGCAACAGTTGGTCCCAACATCTTAGACAGCTTAAAGCCTTGTTTGATGCCTTAAGTAAACATAATTTTACAGTGAATTTGTCCAAGTGTGAGTTTGGCCAGACGAAAACTAAATACTTAGGATTTCGGATTGGACAAGGTGAAGTCGCTCCTTTGAATGCCAAAAGGCCCTCTTAGAATTTCCTACCCATTTTTTTTTTGTTAGTTTTATTTTATTACCAATCATTTAGTTTCATTGGTACTTGGTTAGTGAATTAAAATAACCACAAGCAATTATAAATGAAATACTATACAGCAAGAAACCCAATCTTACGTTCAAATTCTCATTAACTGAGTATGGTATAATAATTTCAATTAATAATCTAGTAATCTCACCATTTAACTCTTTTAGAAAGGTCTGAGGTAACGAAATAGTTATCTTTCATAAGTGACATGAATTACCAGACTTCAGGAAACTAATGGCAAAGGCAAGACAATAGACTTGGTTTAAAGTTTTAGTTTAAGCTAGGAGCTTTGTGTTGAAGACCTGTACCGAGTCAGAGCTAGGAGCTGACCGACTCACTCAACTACTCCATAGTATGACTTCAGCACGGCCAGAAGACCCGTACCGAGTCAGAGCTAGGAGCCGACTCACTCACTCAACTACTCCATAGTATGACTTCAGCTCGGCCAGAAGGCGACGCATGGCGTCAATTCTAGAACCACCAATTGGTCACTACAGTAGTGGTTACACATTCGTAATACCTAACCTAATAATAATATAATATAATACAATATAATACAATGAGAGTACTTTTGATGATTCATACTGTACCCGATAATAATATATAGTCGAACCTGCTTTATCTAGCTAGTAATAAAGTGGTTCTCGATATATTATTACAGAACTTATTTTAACCAGGCCTTTTATTTTTGTATATAATGGAGTGAAGTAGGGGCGCGTAACACAAACTCACTAACCGGGGGTTCAAACCACCACCTGTTCCATGGTTTGCAACATGCAAACATATGGATATGGTTCAAAACCTTGAACGTCCTGCCCATAGACCTATTTCTAATACATTCTGGATGAGTGTTGTGAGGGGAAGTGTAAGTGTGGGCAGCAGCTGGATTGCCTTCCTCTCTCGCTCCGTCACTGTATCTGACACAACGCACTTTATACGAGGCACTGAGCCGCAGTAAACAGCAAGTGCCACAAAGGCTAAAATCCAGGTTGGTGAATGAATTGATTCCTTAATGTTTTGTCTGTGGGAATAAGTGTAAGTTAGGCTGACAACCCCATAACTAAGTATGGTAACTTGAAACTCCATAACGCTGATCTCCCACACACCTGCAATTTCTCCGGTGTCTGAATTTGATGCTGCTTCTTGTCTGCTCCACAATACCTCATATTTCCTCTCTAACTTTTCGTACTTGTGAAATATCAAGTGTCTGGGCAAATGGAAAAAGAATGGCAGGTGAGGGTAGTGGTGATAGCAGCATTACTGCCCCACAATCATTGATCACATAAGGAATTTGACTGAGCCTCTACCCAACAAATGTAATATTAAATCTAAAGCTCCTGACCACTCTCTCCCATACAAATATGAGTCCTTCATGCAAGCATGCATAAAGCAAGACTGAGTCAGTAAAATTTGCCTTATGGTGTCCAGGGACACTGTTAGGGAAAAACTGTATAGGAGTACACAGGCAGCCCCCGCTTTACAGTTTCACTAACACAGCAGTTTTCAATTATAGCCAGTCTTCATTTATTCAGACTTCCTACAATAAATATGTTCACTACTCACTATAAGCTAAGGCTGAAAATATTTTAACCCTTTCAGGGTCCGTCCCGTAGATCTACGGCTTTATGGTGAGTGTCCAAACCGTAGATCTACGCCATGAGCTCAGCTCACTCTGATAAACTGTGAGTGGTACATTTGGGCCTAGATATGAGAGAATACATCTATGTGGTATGTGTGCACCACATAAAACAGATCCTGCAGCACACTGTGTATAATGAGAGAAAAAAACTGAAATCATGATTTTTCGATTAAAACAGCAACTTTGCAGTGTTTTTTCGTATGTTTTTTATAGTTGTATTTGCGATTTCTTGGTCTCATTTGATAGAATGGAAGACATATTACAGAAATAGAGATGATTTTGATTGGTTTTAGCACTGGAAATGGCTTGAAACTGAGCTCAAAGTAGCGGAAATGTTAAATTTTTGCCGATATTCAAGAGTAAACAAACGACCTCACACGTCTAATACACGTCAGCTGGTGGGTCTAATATACATTCACAAATATGGTGATGATATTTATACAATTATTACAGTATTGCATAGCAGTAAATCTTCTATTTTTTGGTGTGAATAAAAATTCATTATGTGAATAAAAAATCAAAATGGAATTTATTTGCAAAGCCTCAAAACATGACTAATGAACAGAGGAAATGTTAGTTTAGTGCCAGGAATGCCTACATTGTTTATTCTGGACCCTATTTTGAAATTGGAATATTTTGAACTTTGTGTTAAATTGGCCAAATTAATTTCCGATCACTTTATTTTGTAGTTGAAACAGTTGACTTGGCGATTTCTTGTGCTCAATCGATAGAATAGAAGTAATACTAGTGAAATAGCTAAGAATTTGGTTGATTGGAATAATGTAATTGGCCTAAAATGGGAGTCAAAGTCGGCAAAATCGCCGATTCGTAAATATCGCTGACACATCAAAATTCGCGAGAGCATAATTTCGTCAATTTTCCACCAAATTTCGTACTTTTTGTTTTATTACCTTCACAAAAAGATTCTCTACGATTTCATAAGAAAAAATAAAAATTTTTTTTTTTGAAAATTCTTGGACACTGGTGCGTGACTCCAGATTTGGGCCTTGGACCCTGAAAGGGTTAAGGTAGGTAATGTGTGGAGTGTATATGCCTTTTTTAGGCCTAGCACTAACTCTCACTTAATATATGACAGCGTAAACATGCCATCAGGCTTTTATATGCATTTGAAAGTGGAAGAGGGCTACGTTTCCTTTTACAGCACTAGCCTGGAGCCTAACTTACTGTATAAGTGGGGGTCTCCTTTATTTGTGCTATATTGTGAATTACTGGCAGACACTGAGTCATCGCATAAAAGTGAATTCACAAATACTGAATCTGCATAAATCAGAGGGACTCCTACAAAGCTTCCAAAAACTTACGATACCAGGTATAGCAACCTAAAATTCAGTAGTTTGAGTAACAAAAACATATTACAATATAACTATTTCAGTTTTATCTTTACCCTTAAATTGTCCAAACGTAGATCAACGTTCGCATGTGTAGCGCTCCGAATGTAGATCTACGTTTTTTTTACATGCTTTCTAATGTAGAAAAAAAAGTCAGAGCGCTACGCATACGAGTGTAGATCTACGTTTGGACAGTTCAAGGGTTAAACAGCTTTGTTCCAAAAACTTATACTAATTAAAACTGCATCTATAATCAATTAGAAAAACAAAAGCTTTACAAAACATGGATGAAACCCATATAACATTGTGTGAAGTTGCTTGAGGTATGGACAATCTTCCTCATCTCTGATTTTCAATTAGATTTATGGGAAGTGCTAAACCAGTGGGGTTATACAGCACCTGGGGAATAGGAGGAAATCAGGTTTGATCCAAGACAAGCAAGGGTAGCTCCAATTCCTTGGATTAACAGCCCCGTGCCAGGATCCAAGTCTTTCCCTTCATAAGTCTAATTTTCCCTTTATAAATCTAGTTTTCAAATTGAAATATAACTGATAATGGTTGGGTAAAATAAACAAATTATGTACACAAAGAATAAAAATCCACAACACTGTGACTGGAACAATACACAAATTACCCACACACAGGAGGACGAAACTTATGAAAACATTTTGGTCCATCTATACTTAACAGTACAAGTCAGATCGAAACAGTCACGAGTCTTCTACACGAGGGCTATTTGTGTAAGTTATGCAAGTTTTTTTTTATTAAAACAGTGGCTGTCTCCCACCAAGGCAGGGTGGCCTGAAAAAAAAAACTTCCATCATCATTCACCTCATCACTGCATGACAGTGTTGGAGTGAATGATGGTGAAAGTTTTTCTTGTTTGGGCCACCCTGCCTTGGTGGGAGACGGCCAATGTGTTAAAAAAAAAAAAATGCACATATTACAGTTGTACTGTCTCCTGAAGGGTGAAGGGAGTTGCATCTTCATACTGGTGAAGGCACTCTTGATTTAAAGAAATAGACCAAACCTCACTGTCTCCCATTCCCCAGGAATTGTATAACCTTATGATTTAGCATTTCCCCCATGAATTATAATTATGACAATAATACAACCTTACCATGACATTCTGCATTAAAATACTGGATAACATACACATTCTCCAGCTAGCCGGACTTGAGTCCTGGAGGTGGGAAGTACAGTGCCTGCACTCTGAAGAATGGGTGAGGATGGTACAGTTGCACCATCCTCACCCATTCTTCCATTTCTGCAAGCTTGTGGCAAAACAGCAACTGACTGACAGTAATCATGCTTTCTCTTTGGGTTGCCCTGCCTTTGGCAAGAGATAGCCACTGACATAAAAAAAAATATAAATATAATTTTGACTATTTCATGCCATTGTACTTTCTTAATCAATATTTAGGTTTTCACTGTTCAAGTCTGTAATTCAGTTTTACATTTTCCAGATATATTAGGCACTGCTTTTAAGACACACGTGATACTAGCACTCAGATGTGAAAAACTTTTTTATCTTCATATGGAAGACTAGCACAGTAATATTACCATACATCTATGACTTAGAAATATTATAAAAATATAGTTTAAGTAGTAATTTGTACTATATAATAAAACTGGAATACAATAATAATTTACCCAGTTACGGTGATGTTGTCAGATCTTCGGCACTTTACCTTTTGTGAAAACTGCTAATGTTCTAATGCTTACTTGTCTGAAAACAAAAATAAATGTCAATTGTTACTAATGGCACTGTTGTGTGGTAGTGGTGGTGACTGGTAGCGGCGTGTGGTGGTAGTGGCATGTGGTGGTAGTGGCATGTGGTGGTAGTGGCATGTGATTATAAAGGCAGTGTACACTCTTAAAATTTAGGTTCACCTTGCTATTCATCTCCTGCCAAGGCAGGATGACCCAACAAAAAAACACACTCACCATCATTCATTCACTCACTTGCTGTCCTGCCAGAAGTGTGGTAACATTACAATCCAGATGACCATCTGACTGCACTATCCTCATCCCTTCCTTCAGAGTGTTAGAGCTGCCCTTTCCACCTCCAAGACTCAAGTCCAGCAAGCCACTTTCACTGAATCTCTTCACACTCCAACATGTACATTATAAACCAGGGAATTAGAACTACCTCTCATTTTCTTCAAATCAAAACTGATTACCTCCAAATTTTAACATTTCCCAATGAAAATAACAAGAATGATGGCTGTAGGTAGGATACCTGGAGAGAGTTCCGGGGGTCAACGCCCCCGCGGCCCGGTCTGTGACCAGGCCTCCTGGTGGATCAGAGCCTGATCAACCAGGCTGTTGCTGCTGGCTGCACGCAAACCAACGTACGAGCCACAGCCCGGCTGGTCAGGAACCGACTTTAGGTGCTTGTCCAGTGCCAGCTTGAAGACTGCCAGGGGTCTGTTGGTAATCCCCCTTATGTATGCTGGGAGGCAGTTGAACAGTCTCGGGCCCCTGACACTTATTGTATGGTCTCTTAACGTGCTAGTGACACCCCTGCTTTTCATTGGGGGGATGTTGCATCGTCTGCCAAGTCTTTTGCTTTCGTAGTGAGTGATTTTCGTGTGCAAGTTCGGTACTAGTCCCTCTAGGATTTTCCAGGTGTATATAATCATGTATCTCTCCCGCCTGCGTTCCAGGGAATACAGTTTTAGGAACCTCAAGCGCTCCCAGTAACTGAGGTGCTTTATCTCCGTTATGCGCGCCGTAAAGGTTCTCTGTACATTTTCTAGGTCAGCAATTTCACCTGCCTTGAAAGGTGCTGTTAGTGTGCAGCAATATTCCAGCCTAGATAGAACAAGTGACCTGAAGAGTGTCATCATGGGCTTGGCCTCCCTAGTTTTGAAGGTTCTCATTATCCATCCTGTCATTTTTCTAGCAGATGCGATTGATACAATGTTATGGTCCTTGAAGGTGAGATCCTCCGACATGATCACTCCCAGGTCTTTGATGTTGGTGTTTCGCTCTATTTTGTGGCCAGAATTTGTTTTGTACTCTGATGAAGATTTAATTTCGTGTTTACCATATCTGAGTAATTGAAATTTCTCATCATTGAACTTCATATTGTTTTCTGCAGCCCACTGAAAGATTCGGTTGATGTCCGCCTGGAGCCTTGCAGTGTCTGCAATGGAAGACACTGTCATGCAGATTCGGGTGTCATCTGCAAAGGAAGACACGGTGCTGTGGCTGACATCCTTGTCTATGTCGGATATGAGGATGAGGAACAAGATGGGAGCGAGTACTGTGCCTTGTGGAACAGAGCTTTTCACCGTAGCTGCCTCGAACTTTACTCTGTTGACGACTACTCTCTGTGTTCTGTTAGTGAGAAAATTATAGATCCATCGACCGACTTTTCCTGTTATTCCTTTAGCACGCATTTTGTGCGCTATTACGCCATGGTCACACTTGTCGAAGGCTTTTGCAAAGTCTGTATATATTACATCTGCATTCTTTTTATCTTCAGTGCATCTAGGACCTTGTCGTAGTGATCCAATAGTTGAGACAGACAGGAGCGACCTGTTCTAATCCCACGTTGCCCTGGGTTGTGTAACTGATGGGTTTCTAGATGGGTGGTGATCTTGCTTCTTAGGACTCTTTCAAAGATTTTTATGATATGGGATGTTAGTGCTATCGGTCTGTAGTTCTTTGCTGTTGCTTTACTGCCCCCTTTGTGGAGTGGGGCTATGTCTGTTGTTTTTAGTAACTGTGGGACGACCCCCGTGTCCATGCTCCCTCTCCATAGGATGGAAAAGGCTCGTGATAGGGGCTTCTTGCAGTTCTTGATGAACACTGAGTTCCATGAGTCTGGCCCTGGGGCAGAGTGCATGGGCATGTCATTTATCGCCTGTTCGAAGTCATTTGGCGTCAGGATAACATCGGATAGGCTTGTGTTAACCAAATTTTGTGGCTCTCGCATAAAAAATTCATTTTGATCTTCGACTCTCAGTCTGGTTAGCGGCTTGCTAAAAACCGAGTCATATTGGGACTTGAGTAGCTCACTCATTTCCTTGCTGTCATCTGTGTAGGACCCATCTTGTTTAAGTAGGGGCCCAATACTGGACGTTGTTCTCGACTTTGATTTGGCATAGGAGAAGAAATACTTTGGGTTTCTTTCGATTTCATTTATGGCTTTTAGTTCTTCCCGCGATTCCCGACTCCTATGAGATTCCTTTAGCTTAAGTTCGATGCTTGCTATTTCTCTGACCAGTGTCTCCCTACGCATTTCAGATATATTGACCTCTTTCAGCAGCTCTGTTATTCTTTTCCGTCGCCTGTAAAGGGAGCGCCTGTCTCTTTCTATTTTACATCTACTCCTCCTTTTTCTTAGAGGAATAAGCCTTGTGCATACATCGAGTGCCAGCAAGTTAATCTGTTCTAGGTATAAGTTGGGGTCTGTGTTGCTTAGTATATCTTCCCAGCTTATATCGGTTAGGACTTGTTTTACTTGGTCCCACTTTATGTTTTTGTTATTGAAGTTGAATTTGGTGAATGCTCCCTCGTGACTAGTCTCATTATGTCGGTCTGGGGCTCCACGCATACAAGTCTGAACCTCAATTATGTTGTGATCTGAGTATATTGTTTTTGATATGGTGACATTTCTTATCAGATCATCATTGTCAGTGAAGATGAGGTCTAGTGTATTCTCCAGTCTAGTAGGCTCTATTATTTGCTAGTTTAAATTTAATTTTGTGCAGATTTAAAAGCTCGTGTGAGTGTGAGTTTTCATCAGAGCTGCCTCCTGGTGTTATTACTGCAACAATATTATTTGCTATATTCCTCCATTTTAGGTGCCTTAAGTTGAAATCCCCCAGGAGCAAGATGTTGGGTGCAGGAGCTGGATAGGGAAAGACTTTGAAATTTAGGAGCTTGAGCATTCAGCAGGCATGTGTAAGCGTATTAGATATGACTGAATGGCAACAGGTAGTGTTTAATGAGACGTGTTGTGAGAAAGGCAACATTTATGAAGGGTTCAGAGAAACTGGTTAGCCAGACTTGAGTCTTGAAAGTGAAAAGTACAGTGCCTGCACTCTGAAGGAGGGGTAGGGATAGGGATATTGCAGAAAGGTAAACCAAAAAAACAGCAACTGAATGAATGATGATCAATGTGTTTTCTTTGGGCCACCCTGCCTTGGGGGATGAGACAGCCACCAAGTCAAAAAAAATTAATATTTCACAGTCTTTTAATACTCACCTTACTTCTTTCTCAAAAATCAACAATGTTTCAACCACTGATAACCACCAGTAATATCTGGCACTCCTTGCTGTCTCACCTTGCTATATGAATTGGGAGAGCCGGTGGAAACAGTACTAAGAGATGGTATGGGGACGACTGAAGAATGTACACTTTGTAGTTGTCCGTGGAGACGTAAGACTCGAGAGGAACGTGATCTGGGTGCAGCTGTAGGTGAAGAAATACATTAAAGTCATTTGTTTACAAGAAGAAACACTTTCATAAAAGTTTTCTCCCTTTTCTTCTTCTTTCAACAAACCGGCCATATCCCACCGAGGCAGGGTGCCCCAAAAAGAAAAACACAAGTTTCTCTTTTTAGCTTTAGTAATATATACAGGAGAAGGGGTTACTAGCCCCTTGCTCCCAGCATTTTAGTCACCTCTTACGGCATGCATGGCTTACCAAGGAAGAATTTTGTTCCACTGCCCCATGGAGATAAAGAGGAAATAAACAAGAAAGAGAACAACTAATACAAAAATAGTGTAGTGTGACCTAAGTTTAAGTAGAAGTAGCAAGATGTACCTGAAATCTTGCATGTTCATGAGACAGAAAAAAGATACCAGCAATCCTAACATCATGTAAAATAATTACAGGTTTCTGTTTCACTCACTTGGCAGGATGGTAGTACCTTCCTGGGTCTCTCACCCTACTACCTTGGAGATATATATATACTTTCTTTCTTTCAACACACCAGCCGTATCCCACCGAGGCAGGGTGGCCCAAAAGGAAAAACGAAAGTTTCTCCTTTTACATTTAGTAATATATACAGGAGAAGGGGTTACTAGCCCCTTGCCCCTGGCATTTTAGTCGCCCCTTACAACACGCATGGCTTACGGAGGAAGAATTCTGTTCCACTTCCCCATGGAGATAAGAGGAAATAAACAAGAATAAGAACTAGAAAGAAAATAGAAGAAAACCCAGAGGGGTGTGTATATATGTGCTTGTACATGTGTAGTGTGACCTAAGTGTAAGTAGAAGTAGCAAGACGTACCTGAAATCTTGCATGTTCATGAGACAGAAAAATGGACACCAGCAATCTTACCATCATGTAAAACAATTACAGGCTTTCGTTTTACACTCGCTTGGCAGGACAGTAGTACCTCCCTGGGTGGTTGCTGTCTACCAACCTACTGCCTAGGAGATATATATGCATCATGCTAATTTAAGGGTTAAACACCAACCCTTATGCATTTGTGCAAGAAAGGTATAAAATACTGACAATATGAAAGTTAAGACACATGTGCAACATCTGGATATCTTTATTGTAGACGTTTCACCATCCAGTGGCTTTATCAATACAGATTCCAGGACATAATAAGAAGACAGTAGGACTGATTACCTCATCTTTTGTATATAGTTCTACTGTCTTCTAATTATGTCCTAGAATCTGTATTGATAAAGCCACTGGATGGTGAAACGTCTACAATAAAGATATCCAGATGTTGCACATGTGTCTTAAACCTTATGCATTTGTCAAACATCATTGAAGGTATTAAGAAGCATCATCATATACAGACACTATGTTGTATCAACTTAATACACTATTAAAGTGTTTTAACACTCCATCTGTCTTACACTGAAGTAGGGTGACCTGACAAAGGAAACTCTCATACTAAAACAAAGTCTGAATGCAAGCTCTACTCATTTTTCCTCTCATTCAGTAGTCTTAATAACATTAAACACTACACATACCTGTCCTCTTAAATTACTTTATAAATGTAATTCATCCAACTAAGACTTGTACTGGAAAAAAATACATCATTGCTCATATATTCAAAGCAAAAATATTAATATCCAGCAAGATAGTGAGAGTGAATGATGGTGAAAGTGTTTTTTTTTTCTCTAGGGTCACCCTGCCCAGGTGGGAGACAACCAGCACATTAGAAAATTATTTTTCACAAATAGCTCACATTTATGAAATTTTATACAATGTTTCATCCCCATCTATAACCAGTATCAGGTCACTTTACAAACTTGAAAAACAGCAATATATAAACTACATGTGGCAACTACCAAAGATAATTACCCTTACTGAATGAATCTAAAACTTGTAGGGTCTAAAACACTTTTCTCCAAGTAGTGGGTTAACAGATAATTGTTCCAACAATGATAATGAATAAAAACATGTGCAACACCTGGGTATCTTTATTTTGGAGATGTTTCACCAACCCAGGTGTTGCACATGTATATAATTCCTTAACCAGCAGGCACAGTAAATTATTAATGGTGCAACTGCAACTTTGTTTATCATTACCCTTGATGGGAAGTCCTCTGGTGGCATGGCAGGAGGCTGAAGTAAAGGCCCGACAACACTTCTATAAACAGAGCGTAGTGCAGCAACTTTTCTATTGACACTTAAGCATCTGGATCTTGACTCTTCACTAAGATGGACACAGCTAACACATTTCTTGTGGTCATAATTAACTAGTATCAGCCTGTAAAATTGAAAACTTGGTAAAAAAAACCTAATGAACATCTGAATATTTTTTTTTGCCAATTTGTCATCCTTTAACCCGTAAACAGTCCGAACGTATATAGTATACGTTCTCTACCGTAGTGCCCCAACTTTGAGAAAAAAAAAATTGTTTTTTAATAGGAAAAAAGAGCATATGGTACCCAGGCATCCCCAATTATTTTAATATGGTGCACAGTGAGTGCACACACCTATTCTCTCATGTCTAGGCGACTCAGGCTTATTGTGGCAATGTTGAATGCTTGACAAAAACAAAAAAAATGTATATACAGTGGACCCCCGGTTTGCGATATTATTTCATTCAAGAAGTATGTTCAGGTGCCAGTACTGACCGAATTTGTTCCCATAAGGAATATTGTGAATTAGATTAGTCCATTTCAGACCCCCAAACATACACATACAAACACACTTACATAAATACACTTGCATAATTGGTCGCATTGGGAGCTGATCGTAAACCGGGGGTCCACTGTATACGTTTGGGGCACTAGCGGTAAAAACGTGTATATATACGTCTGGACCGTTTACGGGTTAAGAACATAAAAAAGTGCTGCAGGAGGCTTACTGACCCATGCTAGGCAGATCTAACTCACACCCACTCATGTATTTATAATGATGTTGGTAGAATTACCAACAATATGTAAAGTGAAAGGACCCAAGTACAACTAATGTGACATTTTATCGTGGCAATGTTTCACTCTCCAGGTTTGTCAAGCCACAACAAAATGTTGCACTAGTTGTACTTGTGTCCCTTTATCTAACACACTGATGCCCTCGTCTAACCTATTTTTAAAGTTCTTTTTTTTTTTTTTAAACGAATCGGCCATTTCCCACCGAGGCAGGGTGATCCAAAAAGAAAGAATAAAGAAACTTTCATCCAACACTCTCACTATCACCCGTACATAATCAATGTCTTTGCAGAGGCACTCAGATATGACATTTTAGATGTCCCTCCAAACTGCCAATATCCCAAACCCCTTTTTAAAGTTACCCAGCTGTAATTCCTGAACATACCTGTGACCAGTTTTGAGGGTTCTTCTACCCTCAAAACCCAACCTGGTCACCCAGGCTGTTAGTGTTAGTAGCCCACAAGACTATAAAGCCATTACAACCAGGAGAATCATGTACCTGCCTATGATAGCTGTTTTCTCAGTAGCCTGGAACCTAACCTGCTGTATCAGTGGAGCCCTACAGTAGCCTGGAACCTAAGCTGCTGTACAAGTGGAGCCTACCTGTACATGCTATAGCTCTATAATAAAACAACCATAACAAAATATCCAGACTTCACACACCATGTACTCAAACTGAAAATGTCCTCATTTAGACAATGATTAAAATTACAAGTATATTATTGTACTCAAGTTATTTAAGCATCACATCCACTTAATTATATGTACACAAACAACTGTTATTAAACTATTATTATTGAAAAAGATTTGCTATAAAAGCTTATTATCAAATATAGTCTCACTGGCAAGAAATTTATAAAAAATCATGATAAGTTATCCAAACAATTTACAAATTAATTTACCTAGGAAGAGATAGTGTATCTTTTCAAAGAATATTTAGTATTGTTATAATACAGTAGTACTGGAGAGTGGGACATAAATCCAAAATATAAATTCGTAGTTTGGAAGTTAGGAGGAGGTGCGGGATTACCAAAACTGTTGTCCTGAGGGCTGAGGAAGGGTTGTTGAGGTGGTTCGGACATGTAGAGAGAATGGAGCAAAACAGTGACTTCAAGAGTGTATCAGTCTGTAGTGGAAGGAAGGCGGGGTAGGGGTTGGCCTAGGAAAGGTTGGAGGGAGGGGGTAAAGGAGGTTTTGTGTGCGAGGGGCTTGGACTTCCAGTGGGCATGCGTGAGCGTGTTTGATAGGAGTGAATGGAGACAAATGGTTTTTAATACTTGACGTGCTGTTGGAGTGTGAGCAAAGTAACATTTATGAAGGGGTTCAGGTCCGGCAGGCCGGACTTGAGTCCTGGAGATGGGAAGTACAGTGCCTGCACTCTGAAGGAGGGGTGTTAATGTTGCAGTTTAAAAACTGTAGTGTAAAGCACCCTTCTGGCAAGACAGTGATGGAGTGAATGATGGTGAAAATTTTTCTTTTTCGGGCCACCCTGCCTTGGTGGCCACCCTGCCTTGGTGGGAATCGGCCAGTGTGTTAATAAAAAAAAATAAAAAGAAGAAACTTTGTGTCTTCTTTTTTTGGGTCCTCCGGCCTTGGTGGGAGACAGTTGAGTTAAAAAAAAAATAGAGGTATACGTGTTTCAAATGTAGTGAACTTTCCAAGGTGAATCTAGGAAATCAAAGACATACTTGCATATGCTAGGGAGGAAGGTAGTGTGTGATTACCTCAAACTCCTGATCTTCACCCATTCTTCTCTGTATTGTACTGAGGAAGCCACTGGCTGGCATAACATTTCCACAATAAAGATACCTAAGTGTTGCACAAGTGTCAAACTCATCAATAAAGTATGACCCATGGAAAGGAAGCACTTATTCCTTGGATAAAAAACTCTGGCATCGATGCACCTCCACACAGAGGAGAAGCAGCAACAAAACAGCACAAATTACCCTATAATAGCATTATCAAGATGGGAGAGAAGACTAGGTGAAATGTTGCAAGGCAATAATGAGGAGAGTGCCTCCAGTGTCTGGTACGAGGGCGCCCAGAAGGACGAGGCTGCACGCATCATCTCTGTCAGCGTGGGTGTTGGACCACACAGCGTTACCACTGATATAAGACCCGTAAGTCGTATCACAAGCATCCTGAAGGGAACCTGAAAAGTATAAGATACATTAGCTTGACCTGGCATACACTGAACATGCTGGCTGTCTCCTACCGAGGCAGTGACCAAAAAAAAAAAAAAATACTTTCACCATCATTCACACTATCACTGTCTTGCCAAAGGCATGCAGATACAAGAGTTCAGATGTCCCTCCAAACAGCAAATATCCCAAACCCGTGGCAAAGCTTAAACTGGCTGAGAGTTTTTTCATGGGACCTATTTTTTGGGAAAGGCATATGACCTGTAAATTGAAAACTAAAATAGAATTTTGGTCAAAATATGCTCAATAGGTTATCCAAAGGCACATCTCTCTACTTTCCAATCATTTTTTTCTGTCAATGTTAACCACACTAGTGATATTAGAGAGAGACGTTGACGATGAGACATCTATAAATAAATATACCCAGATGTTGCACACGCAATTTTTCAAATTCGTATATTGTTCGGGGCTGGGAGATAATCAGGTTTGATCTAAGGTAAGAGAGGGTAGCTCCAATTCCTTAGATCAAGAGCCCTTTACCAGTATCAACTTGAAGATTCAACGAACTAAATTTTTGCAAAATTTGTCCGTACTAAAGTAATCAGATTTATTAATACTATACCTTGATAGCACAACAAAGGGAAGTATTGTACTATTGCTGAGCATCATGGCCTACTATTTAATATTAAATATTATCATTATAATCAAAAAGAAGCACTAAGCCTACAAGGGTCATACAGCGCAGTAATACACCTACCATCCAACTTACGACCGAGTTCGGTTCCGAGAAACCGGTCGTAAGTCGAAATGGTCGCGTCGAACTTTACTACTGAATATCAACATCACATTTTTGTAATGACTTTATTTTATTGTTTTATTTTGGTATTTCATGTTTTACTTTACTTTTTATGTTGTTAGTATTGTATTTTATACTGTAAGGTTTAGGATAAACACTGTGTACAACACAAATAGTTGTTTATTTCCCAGAAATTTGGCAAAAAAAAAAAACACGGTCGTAAGTCGAGTGGTCATAAGTCGGATGGTAGGTGTATTAAAATAACCTAATAGTTTTTCACACAAATAACCCGACCAAAATGTCATTATCTTTTCTCTATGTATTGTTCCGATTATGATACTGTGCCTTTTTGTTCTTTCGAATAGTATTTTGGTATCGGCGACTTTTCATTTTTATTTTCTATTCCAATTTTCCAAAGCATATGTGGCAGGTTGGTTTATTAATGTAAAGATCTCAACAAGTCTGGCAGAAACAGCACAGATGCTCCTTGCTTTATGATGGTTCAACTTACGATATTTCAACTTTACGTAACCCCATCGTAAGTCCAGGAGCACCTGAAGTGACTTACATTAGGACTTTTATTGGGGAGGTAGATGGGTAGGTCACGTGCAACAGTGAATGTATTGGAGGCGACCAGGAGGGGCAAGAGAACCAACTCTGTGTGGGACAGCGACCAAAAGTTGCGAGTGCCACACAAGACGTGCCCTTGCATCATCACGCACCCATATGTCGAGTCCGCTCCCTCGGCAAATTTTTCAAGTTCATTCTATAGGTAGAAAAAATGGAAGCTCAATTAGCTATTAACTACTGTGAAAAATAGTATGGTGATATGACAAGATGTAGAAAAAAACACTTATTTACAGTTCGGGACATTATTGCCATCACCTCTGATGAGTTCCAAGATTTTTTCTACTCCTGGAGTCTGGCCATAGGCCAGGCTCATCTGGTGCTTGCCTGGTCAACTAGGCTGTTGCTGATGGTGGTCTGCTGCCCCACATATCCATTACAGCCTGGTTGATCTGGCACCTGGTGAAGATACTTGTCCAGTTTCCTTTCGAAGACTACTACATTTGTCCCAACTATTTCTGATATCTTCTGGGAAGATGTTGAATAGTCTTGAGGTCAGGAATGTTGATACAGTGTTCCCTTATTGTGCCCACTGCACCCCTGCTTTTCATTGGGTCTGTTTTGCACTTCCTGCCATATCTCTCACCCCCAGACAAAATATTTCTTCTAATAAATATCCTGAACTGTACCTAAGTGTCTTTTTCCACATTAACTACAATATTTACAAATTATCAAATACAGTGATAACAATAATACACAATTATAAAGAAATCTGTGGATTAGATAAAACTTAATGCATTTGTAAAGTGATGCAAAACAAAAAAAATATTTCAATATTACTGTCAATACAGTTATTACTTCTCTTACTTTATTTTTTTTTTTTTAACCTCAGCCATCTCCCACTAAAAAGAAAAAAGGTAACAGTGACCACTGTTCATACATGCTGTTCATTAAATAACAAAAAAAGGCACAATACCGTGACTGGAACGATACACAAATAACCTGCACATAGAAGAGAGAAGCTTACGACGACGTTTCGGTCCGACTTGGACCGTTTACAAAGTCACACTAACCAGAAGTCCTGCTCCACTTCTGGTTAGTGTGACTTTGTAAATGGTCCAAGTCACACCGAAACGTCGTCGTAAGCTTCTCTCTTCTATGTGCGGGTTATTTGTGTATACTGTTCATTTCTTGTTAATTTTAAGTTAATTTTAAGCCTGCCCATAATGCTCTGCATACAAGGGGCTTTTGGCATGTACACCCAACTACTATAATTCCTTGTACAACTATGTATTATGTCCAAATAAACTATATGAATATGAATACAATGTCTGTCTTCCCAGAAGTGTGCTGACATCACATTTCAGACTGCCCTCTGATAGTTCAGAGTGCAAGCAATGTACTTTCCACCTCCAGGACTCAAGTCCAGCTAACCAGTTTCCCTGAATCCCTTCATGAATATTACTTTGCTTACACTCCAACAGAATGTCTATTAATAAACTACTCATCTCTATTCACTTCTAGAATGATAACACAAACCTGCTGGATGCTCAAGCCCTGAAAACGCAAAGCATCCTATATCCTCTCCCTCCAACAATGACCCCAACTCCCTCCTGCCTTCCACCCCAGATTCATACATTCTATCACTCTCTGTCCTCTCTAAATGTCCAAACCACCTCAACAACCCCTCCTCCAACCTCTAAATTATACCCTTATTTATTTATTTATTTATTTATTTAGTAATTTTAGCATACATACAGAGGTACAAAAAAATACAGGTAAGAGCAGCATGCCAAAGCCACTTATATGCATAGCATTACGGGCTGGCTTAAAATTAACTTAAGATTAACTAAGCAATGATGAAATCAGTGATAAAACATTATTGTAAACAGATAACTATAAAGCACAAATGAGTATTACAAAGACAGGTCATATGGTTGCATGCATTGCTGTACATTCAGTCAAATGGAGTATTCTGTTAGGTAGTGTATTTAAAAAAATAACAAAGTTAGATTGGGTCCTAGGTTTAACATTTGTGTGATATAATTGTGAGTAACATTTAGGATATACAATTTACATGGTTCAGTTATTCAGTATTTATTTGGTTTTGAGTGAGTAAGTGAACTTTGAGAAGAGACTTGAATTTATAAACAGGTAGTGTTTCTTTTATATTTACAGGTAATGAATTCCAGATTTTAGGGCCTTTTATGTGCATTGAGTTTTTGCATAGCGTGAGATGGACACGAGGAACATCAAAGAGTGATCTGTGCCTTGTGTTATGGTCATGTGTTCTGTTGAGGTTGGCAAGGAGATGTTTGAGGGGAGGGTTAATATCAGAGTTAAGTGTTCTATGTATGTAATAGGTGCAATAATAAGTATGGATGTTTTGTATGGTGAGTAGGTCGAGTGTTTTGAATATTGGTGGAGTGTGCTGCCTGTAGTGAGAATTTGTTATCATTCTAACTGCAGCCTTTTGTTGGGTAATTAGTGGTCTGAGATGGTTAGTTGTTGTTGAGCCCCATGCACAAATTCCATAGGTGAGATAGGGGTAAATAAGAGAGTGATAAAGGGCCAGGAGGGCTGACTGTGGAACATAGTACCGTATCTTCGATAGTATGCCTACAGTCTTGGAAATTTTCTTAGAAATTTGTTGTATATGTGTGTGAAATTTGAGTCTATTATCAAGGTGGATTCCTAAGAATTTTCCCTGTTAGCTTTGTGATAGGTGATCCATTTATCGTTATGTTAAGAGGTACATCTGTAGCTCTGTTACCAAACTGAATGAAGTAGGTTTTGTCAATGTTTAGTGTAAGTTTGTTAGTCCTCATCCAGGTAGATATTTTCTGTAATTCGGTGTTTACAGTATTGGCTAGCGTGACTGGGCTCGGGTGAGAGAAGACGTATGTAGTGTCATCTGCAAAAAGTGTGGGTTTGAGTAATTGCGAAGCATTTGGTAGGTCATTTATGTATAGGAGAAAGAGAAGAGGGCCAAGGACATTCCTGTGGGACACCAACTGTAATTGGTTGTGCGGAAGAGCTTGCCCCATTAGCGTACACATATTGGCTTCTGTTGCGAGGTATGACTTGAGGTAGTTGAGGGAGTGCCCTCTTATACCATAATGTGACAATTTTACGTGGAGCAAGTCATGGTCAACTGTATCAAAAGCTTTACATAAGTCAATGAAGATCCCCAGTGGGACTTCTTTTTTCTCTATTGCAGTGTATATATGTTCTAGCATGTGTATATTAGCATCATTAGTATTTTTATTAGGCCTGAATCCAATTTCTACACTCTAAATTCTCTGCATAATTGCATTAAGCATAATTTTCAACTTAGTTTCTGACCTGCAAATTATGTTGCTCTGAGGGTATAAGGCACTCTGCACAGCCTGTCAAGTGGGAGAAACCATGGTGATCCTCACAACCCATTGCTCGGGACAGCAACTCATCCAGCAATACATAGCATGGCTGCAACATGAAACACATCAGATCACATTGTAGATCAACAAGACATATGCAACACTTGGGTATCTTTATTGCATAAATGTTTTGCCTACACAACAGGCTTCTCCAGTTGAATACTGGCAAATGTAACACTGGAGGTAGAAGCAGTAGTTTGAAGTGATCAGTCCCAAAGTCTACGTAGGTGGTCAGGTGTGCAAGCAAAACATTTTATCAATGAAAATACCTAGGTGTTACACATGTGTCTTATTCATCAACTTGTCACCATTGTATACCAATAATAAACGGTACTGTAATATTAAGTTCTGGAGAATGATTATTAAATTATTATATTAGTAATAATATAATAATTTAATAATCAGCCGGGATTGATGGGATAAAGATAGAAATGTTAAAAGCAGGTGGGGATATAGTTTTGGAGTGGTTGGTGCAATTATTTAATAAATGTATGGAAGAGGGTAAGGTACCTAGGGATTGGCAGAGAGCATGCATAGTTCCTTTGTATAAAGGCAAAGGGGATAAAAGAGAGTGCAAAAATTATAGGGGGATAAGTCTGTTGAGTGTACCTGGTAAAGTGTATGGTAGAGTTATAATTGAAAGAATTAAGAGTAAGACGGAGAATAGGATAGCAGATGAACAAGGAGGCTTTAGGAAAGGTAGGGGTGTGTGGACCAGGTGTTTACAGTGAAACATATAAGTGAACAGTATTTAGATAAGGCTAAAGAGGTCTTTGTGGCATTTATGGATTTGGAAAAGGCGTATGACAGGGTGGATAGGGGGGCAATGTGGCAGATGTTGCAAGTGTATGGTGTAGGAGGTAGGTTACTGAAAGCAGTGAAGAGTTTTTACGAGGATAGTGAGGCTCAAGTTAGAGTATGTAGGAAAGAGGGAAATTTTTCCCAGTAAAAGTAGGCCTTAGACAAGGATGTGTGATGTCACCGTGGTTGTTTAATATATTTATAGATGGGTTGTAAGAGAAGTAAATGCGAGGGTCTTGGCAAGAGGCGTGGAGTTAAAAGATAAAGAATCACACACAAAGTGGGAGTTGTCACAGCTGCTCTTTGCTGATGACACTGTGCTCTTGGGAGATTCTGAAGAGAAGTTGCAGAGATTGGTGGATGAATTTGGTAGGGTGTGCAAAAGAAGAAAATTAAAGGTGAATACAGGAAAGAGTAAGGTTATGAGGATAACAAAAAGATTAGGTGATGAAAGATTGAATATCAGATTGGAGGGAGAGAGTATGGAGGAGGTGAACGTATTCAGATATTTGGGAGTGGACGTGTCAGCGGATGGGTCTATGAAAGATGAGGTGAATCATAGAATTGATGAGGGAAAAAGAGTGAGTGGTGCACTTAGGAGTCTGTGGAGACAAAGAACTTTGTCTTGGAGGCAAAGAGGGAATGGGGGGGGGGGGGGGGGGGGGGGGGGGGGGGGGGGGGGGGGGGGGGGGGGGGGGGGGGGGGGGGGGGGGGGGGGGGGGGGGGGGGGGGGGGGGGGGGGGGGGGGGGGGGGGGGGGGGGGGGGGGGGGGGGGGGGGGGGGGGGGGGGGGGGGGGGGGGGGGGGGGGGGGGGGGGGGAAAAAAAAAAAAAAAAAAAAAAAAAAAAAAAAAAAAAAAAAAAAAAAAAAAAAAAAAAAAAAAAAAAAAAAAAAAAAAAAAAAAAAAAAAAAAAAAAAAAAAAAAAAAAAAAAAAAAAAAAAAAAAAAAAAAAAAAAAAAAACGCCGGTGTATAATAAAAAAAAAAAAAAAAAAATAATTAGTAATAATAATAATATCCCAGTTGATCAGGTCCTGATCCACCATGAGGTCTGGTCATGGGCCAGGCCGTGGGGGCACTGACCCCCAAACCCTCTCCAGGTATAGGAGAAAGACACTTATAATGTTTTGGTTCAACTTGGACCATTTAACAAGTCCCAGCATGTGATTAGTTAGTGGTCCAAGTTGAGCCAAAACACCATCAGGAGTTTCTTTCTCTCATGTACGGGTTATTTGTGTATTGTTCCAGTCATGGTATTGTGACTTTTTGTTCTTTATTATTATTACATTCTTGGGTAAACACTGAACCTGTAGGGGTTATATAGCACTTGATGAATGGGAGGCAATCAAGTTCGATCCAAGGAACGTAAAGGTTCCTTTAATTCCCTACATCAAGAAGCCTTCACTGGCATCATGGCACTGAAGGATGAGATTTACTAAGCATGAATCAATGCACTATACAGTCTGCAAATAAAGACACTTCACTGGTTGGGAACCCCCTACCAAGCCAATGTAGTTACTCATTCAATAGCTAGCCAGAGCTTACAGTGTTTAACCTGACTGATCTAAAAATCTTTAGGCACCATTTTAACTTTAATCCAAACAAAGTATACAAGATTCTCACCAATTTGAAGCTAGTGCACTCGGCTCGCACACTGAGGACCATGGTTCAATTCCAGGTATGGGTGGAAACATTGGATGTATTTCCTTAAGACACTTGCTGTCCCTGTTCACCCATCAGTAAATAGGTACACGGTACCTGGGTGTTAGTCGACTAGTGTGGGTCACATCAGCAGGAAAAAATTACCCTAATTTGCCCAAAATGCTCTCCATATTCAGAGGCTTTCTATATAGTAGTATGTCACTGATGTCAGCTATGGTCTGTATAAGTTGTATCATGTATTGGTAGAAATAAAGATTATTGTTATTATTAAACTTACCCTGATGTCTCTCTTTAGTCGTTCAACATTGGTTGCTGATGTTAATGTTTCGAGCCCAAGAAGAAGAACTAGGGATGCAAACATTAAGTCCAATAAGGAGCCATCGCAACTGTCACCAACTGTTTCACTTCCTCGTATTAAAATTAGTCTGATACTATAGGGGGAAAAAAAATAGAATAAGTGTACACTGATGTTGCATCTGGTCCAAATTTCTGACTGACTGACCCACATGGGAAAAACATACAATGAATTTTACACATTATTATCAAGATACCTGCTTGAGAAGTACAGTACCAGTAAAGCATACAAAGAAGGAATGCACACAACTTCTGCTGGTACCAATTTCTAAGTGACTCCTGCTCTTAGTATTCTAAATTTATGTATATGTAGGTTGGTAGACAGCAACCGCCCAGAGAGGTACTACCGTCCTGCCAAGTGATTGTAAAACGAAAGCCTGTAATTGTTTTACATGATGGTAGGATTGCTGGTGTCTTTTTCTGTCTCAAACATGCAAGATTTCAGGTACATCTTGCTACTTCTACTTACACTTAGGTCACACTACACATACATGTACAAGCATATATATACACACCCCTCTGGGTTTTCTGCTATTTTCTTTCTAGTTCTTGTTCTTGTTTATTTCCTCTTATCTCCATGGGGAAGTGGAACAGAATTCTTCCTCCGTACGCCATGCGTGTTGTAAGAGGCGACTAAAATGCCGGGAGCAAGGGGCTAGTAACCCCTTCTCCTGTATAAATTACTAAATTTGAAAAGAGAAACTTTTGTTTTGATGCTTGAGTGAACACTAACCTTCGCTCTCATTCAAATATTTTATGATTATTTAATTGTGTTTAGTGCTTGTGGGACTGTGAAATAAGCTGCCATGGGCTCAAAGAAACTTGCTAGTGATACCCCTGTGGTAAAGAAAGTGAGAAACATTATAGATGTGAAGAAGGAAATAATACAGAAGTATGAGAGTGGTGTGAGACTTGTTGAGCTTGCCAGGATGTACAGAGGACTGAGGACAGTTATTTTGTGAGACAGAAACAGAGGACTGTGGACAGTTATTTTGTGAGACAGGGATCCAGTGACTCAAGCTGGTCCTAGTGGCATTAAAAGACAGAGAAGGGAAGCAACCCCAGAGAGGGCTTTGATACCCAAAGTCCTCATGGAGGGGGATTCCCCTTCCAAACACTAACCCCAACTCCCTCTCTCCTCCTCTCTATCTTCCAGATGCCATCACCAATCTTCAATAAAGTAAAAAATGTTATTTCTATGTTCATTTAAATTTATTAATACATAATTGAACACTATATTTGTTGTGTATGTAAAACTATAATTAATCTCTATAAAATGTACTTTTGTTTAATAAATGTATGAAAGAGGGGAAGGTACCTAGGGATTGGCGGAGAGCATGCATAGTCCCTTCATATAAAGGGAAGGGGGACAAAAGAGATTGTAAAAATTATAGAGGAATAAGTTTATTGAGTACACCAGGAAAAGTGTACGGTAGGGTTATAATTGAAAGAATTAGAGGCAAGACATAATGTAGGATTGCGGATGAGCAAGGAGGTTTCAGAGTGGGTAGGGGATGTGTAGATCAAGTGTTTACATTGAAGCATATATGTGAACAGTATTTAGATAAAGGTAGGGAAGTTTTTATTGCATTTATGGATTTAGAAAAGGCATATGATAGAGTGGATAGGGGAGCAATGTGGCAGATGTTGCAAGTATATGGAATAGGTGGTAAGTTACTAAATGCTGTAAAGAGTTTTTATGAGGATAGTGAGGCTCAGGTTAGGGTGTGTAGAAGAGAGGGAGACTACTTCCTGGTAAAAGTAGGTCTTAGACAGGGATGTGTAATGTCACCATGGTTGTTTAATATATTTATAGATGGGGTTGTAAAAGAAGTAAATGCTAGGGTGTTCGGGAGAGGGGTGGGATTAAATTATGGGGAATCAAATTCAAAATGGGAATTAACACAGTTACTTTTTGCTGATGATACTGTGCTTATGGGAGATTCTAAAGAAAAATTGCAAAGGTTAGTGGATGAGTTTGGGAATGTGTGTAAAGGTAGAAAGTTGAAAGTGAACATAGAAAAGAGTAAGGTGATGAGGGTATCAAATGATTTAGATAAAGAAAAATTGGATATCAAATTGGGGAGGAGTATGGAAGAAGTGAATGTTCTCAGATACTTGGGAGTTGACGTGTCGGCGGATGGATTTATGAAGGATGAGGTTAATCATAGAATTGATGAGGGAAAAAAGGTGAGTGGTGCATTGAGGTACATGTGGAGTCAAAAAATGTTATCTATGGAGGCAAAGAAGGGAATGTATGAAAGTATAGTAGTACCAACACTCTTATATGGGTGTGAAGCTTGGGTGGTAAATGCAGAAGCGAGGAGACGGTTGGAGGCAGTGGAGATGTCCTGTCTAAGGGCAATGTGTGGTGTAAATATTATGCAGAAAATTCGGAGTGTGGAAATTAGGAGAAGGTGTGGAGTTAATAAAAGTATTAGTCAGAGGGCAGAAGAGGGGTTGTTGAGGTGGTTTGGTCATTTAGAGAGAATGGATCAAAGTAGAATGACATGGAAAGCATATAAATCTATAGGGGAAGGAAGGCGGGGTAGGGGTCGTCCTCGAAAGGGTTGGAGAGAGGGGGTAAAGGAGGTTTTGTGGGCAAGGGGCTTGGACTTCCAGCAAGTGTGTGTGAGCGTGTTAGATAGGAGTGAATGGAGACGAATGGTACTTGGGACTTGACGATCTGTTGGAGTGTGAGCAGGGTAATATTTAGTGAAGGGATTCAGGGAAACCGGTTATTTTCATATAGTCGGACTTGAGTCCTGGAAATGGGAAGTACAATGCCTGCGCTTTAAAGGAGGGGTTCGGGATATTGGCAGTTTGGAGGGATATGTTGTGTATCTTTATAGGTATATACTTCTAAACTGTTGTATTCTGAGCACGTCTGCAAAAACAGTGATAATGTGTGAGTGTGGTGAAAGTGTTGAATGATGATGAAAGCATTTTCTTTTTGGGGATTTTCTTTCTTTTTTGGGTCACCCTGCCTCGGTGGGTCACCCTGCCTCGGTGGGTCATCCTGCCTCGGTGGGTCACCCTGCCTCGGTGGGTCATCCTGCCTCGGTGGGTCACCCTGCCTCGGTGGGTCACCCTGCCTCGGAGGGAGACGGCCGACTTGTTGAGAGAGAGAGAGAAAAAAAAAAAAAAAAAAAAAAAAAAAAAGTATTTTTGTGTGTGTATATTTTTGGGTTTCTGGAACGGATTAATTGTATTTCCATTATTTCTTATGGGAAATATTGCTTCGCTTTTCAGACTT